CGGGAGAAAATGGGGAAGGCATCTAGGAAAGGCTGGGATAGCTGTCAGACTGCAGGGTGGGCCTGCCTCCGCGTGCAGGGGTGAGGGAAGGCGGTTTGGGTGAAAGGCTCTTAGACTGCAGTGTGGTCTGAGGAAGGTTTGGCAAGGCCATCCGGGATTTCTGCAGCTAAAGTCACCTGTCAGGGGGTTGCTGTGTTTCCCAGGACTGTCTTGCCTCAGTAGTAGTATCCCTCCACACTCAGTCACTGGCTGGAGCAGCCTGTGACAAGCATGGCCCCTGAATGAACGCGAGCAGCTGGGCCCTTGGTTAGTTAAGCTCCCTGTGGTTGGAGGTCTGTAGGGTGCACTCTGGTGACCACACCTTCCTTTCTCTTCCAGAAAATTTTGACTAGCCAGTGTATGACATGGAACCTTCAAGTTGAGCTAGTCTCTCACTGACTTTTAAAATTACCTTGGAGTAAGGAATTCATAGAGAGAGAGAGAGAGAGAGAGAGAGAGAGACAGGTTAGAAAACCATATTTGCCTTAGGTTCTTAAAAAACCAAAACATTGGCGAGTCCCCACTATCCCCCAAACACTTTGAGTTATCTTACTTTCCTGATCTCTTCATAGACTCGCCCAAGGATTACTGTAAGATCTTTAAAGGGAGAGGACTAGATTTTAGTGGGATTTTCAGAAAAGAAAAATAAGTAGGTGAAAAGATCTTTATCTTGAGAGTCCCCCCTCCCCAAGATATTCTATACGGGTGCTAGGACCTCTTTTCAAAGTAAAGTATTTTCTGGCTTCCGTAGACCCTGCCGGTGTTCATTCTTATTAAATTATCACAGGGTGCCCTGGGAGCCTGGTCTTCCCATCCTCCTATTCAGGTCTGCCAGAGAAAGAAAATAGTTCTGTGTATTTTGCCTCATTTTTTCCTTTTAATGGTTACATTACTTACATTCTTCAGAGTTTCAGAGAAGTCTTGCCCCGGCTATCTCTGATAATGGAGGTGTGTTGCTAGGCTAGGAGGAAACATGAGTGGGTGCTTGATGCATGTCCTGTCTTAGTGCTGCAGCCAGTTTGAGTGGAGACGTAAGTGCAAGTCACAAAAACCGTCTGCCAATATTGGGGGCTCAGCCTATGCTCAGTCTAGGACTCGATATTCTCCAAAGAGAGGGTTTGTTGGGTAGAATTGGGTCTTTTTTTTATCACAGAGCTCAACAACTGGGCAGTTTTATGCTGGCCCCTCAGTGGCACTTGCCCTTCTGGTCAGTCAGGTGCTGATCCCGAGCCCAGTTGGTCATGCCCAGGTTGGCAGAGTTGGTTTCATCAGACGCACACAGCATAAACCAAGTCATCCACACTCAGAAAGAACTCTTTTTGGGGCTGCTTTTCTCCAAAAGGGGCAGTGGATGTGGTAGCGGCTGGGAGTTTCACGGCCTCTTTGGTGCATTGAGTCATTTACTCCTCTGCTTACTTTGACAGTCACAGCACAGTAGCACAGACTCTTAGGAGAAGACTCTCCTGATAGGGAGAACATGAGAAAAGTGAAGACCTAGTTCCTCAGGAGCTGAGCACCCTCTTGCTGTTACCCCTCAAGTGTTTAATTCATGGCAGTTACTTAGTGAGTAGCACTGAGGGGGGCCCTGGCCAGAGACAGTGGTTAATGAGATCACTGTCAGTTGACTGTTTTTGGAGTGTCAGGGGACCCTCCCTGTGCCAGATTCCAGAGGACTATGCAGTATGTGAAAGAGATCTCTGGTTGGTGTTTCAATCGAACCTTTCTTTGGTATACAACAGTGGCTCTCAACTCTAGGGTCACATCACAATCACCTGAAATGTTTGTTAAAGCTACAGATTTGGGGGCCTCACCGTGGACCCTCTGTATTCCTGTACCTATAGAGGTGGAGCCCAGGTACTGTAGGTTTTAAAGGAGAAAAAATATATATATGTGTGTGTATTTGAAGCAGACTTTTGCTTTTGGGAAGGCGGAATAGATGCACTTTTCCCTATTCCTTCTGCTAAGTGCAACAGAAAACCCTGGACATTATATATAAAACAAACATAAGGAGTTTCTGAAAGGTGGAGAGAAGGCAGCTGGCTAAGAACCTTGGTACCCAAGGAATTACATAATTGTGAGTTCCCTGGGTTTTCTTTTGACTTCGTATATCCCAGACTTGGAGTTGAAGAAGCCGGCAATCCAGATATGCCAATGGGGACAGACATAAAATCTGTTCTCCCTAGCCAGAGGAGGAGGGAAAAGGACAGCATAGTAAGGCACAAAACTTCTAGACATAACCACTCTCTTTCAGCCAAACAACACAGAAAAAAACTGCACCACCACTATTCCCCCAGCTCCCCAGGCAGCAGTGGCTGAGCAGGTGCCTGGGCTTTCATCTCATTGTCCAGGGGTGATGAGGTGCCCCAGCCACCCTGCCGGGTGGTACCACAGAAAGCTGAGAAGGGCGCCAACCACCCCCCAACCCCATTTCCCACATGGTGTCAGTCGAGACCGCATGAAGAACCCAAACTTCCACCTCTGCCCACTATGATGAGGCCACTTACCCTGTGTATTGTCAGTGGAGGCCACATGGAGAGCAGTAACAGGACACTCTTATCCCTTTGAGCCAGGGTGGTGTCAGTGGAAGCCCTGTGGGAAGCTAGAACTCCCACCCACACCCAGCAGTAATGAGCAGCCCCTCTCCCTATTGGGTGTCAACAGAGGCTGAGTTAGAAACCTGGACTTAACTCCTACCTGGCAGTAATAAGGTGGCATCCTCTTCCTTTCCCTGTTTGAGCAGTATCTAAGGATGACAATTACAGCAGAAAGCTTAAATAGTACTAGAGTCTTATAATACTCAAAATGTACAAATTCAATTGAAAGTCACTCACCTTATCAGGAATGAGGAAAGCCTCATCCTCAATGATAAAAGGCAATTGATGCCAAAACCAAGAGGCAAGAGATGTTAGAATTATCTGACAAAGATTTTAAGGCAGCTATCACAATAATGCTTCCATGAGCAACTACAGACACTCTTAGGAGTGAAAAAGTAGGAAGTCTCAGCAGAGAAATAGAAGAAATAAAGAACAAAATAGAAATGTTAGAAATGAAAAATAAAATAGTTGAAATAAACTCAAAAGATGGATCAACAGCGGAGAAAAGGTGCTTCATAAACATTGCTAACTGAATTGAATTATAAGTGTAGGCAGAATATGTGATCATGACTATAGATGTGGCTTAATTTAGTATTTATGTTACGAAAAATTTGCCTCAAGTTCAAACCATATTTTAAACATTTATACTTTGCTGTTTAAAGAACTCCTGTGGTGAACAATTATATTGTGTGTTTAAAATAAGTGTCCAAACATTTAGACTTTAACTCTGACAAATTTCAGTGCATCAGTTGAAAACCAGACTAATGTGTGATGGTTATGAGGCAGCAAAAAATGCAGCAAACCAGGCTTTGCTGGTTAATGTCATGGCTGGAACATGGAAAGGAATGTGTCTGTATACCATGATGATCAGGGATCCAGTTCAGAGTATGAGGTTTTGAGGGGGACAAAGTACAGTATGTACAAAGAAAGTCAACTATGGTAGCAAGAAGTCTGGAGATTTCATCAAGCAAGGGATGTATGCAAATCCTGGGATTGTTGGGTATAAAGAAGAAGGTCTGGACTTCCTGTATTTATATATTTGAAGGGGGTTCTTACTTAGAAAAAAAATGAGTCTCCTTGTTCTGTGTTGCTCCAAATAGGTCATTTATGTATTAAAATTTTGTAGTGTATTTAGTAGCAATTAAAGGAAGGCATCTTTTAAAAAAATAGTTAATTTTTAGTTATAGCTAAAGTTTTATTGTCTATAAAACAATGTTTGATATTAATTGCTTATAAACCAGTCCAAAACCTACCTCATTGGATTGGATTGGTGTTGAATCAAAATTCAGGGATTAAATAAGATGTGTATGTGTGCATGCGCCAGTGTGTGCCACGTGTGTATTGTGTTGTGTTGGGTAAGGCTTCTGGAAAAAATGCTTTTTCCTAATGTTACTCTAAGGGCCTGGACACGGTCTCCTCTAGTCCCTGGTAGAGGCCCAACAATTGCCAAACCCTGATATGTTTTGAGAGTTGCCATTCTGTGCATTATCTCTGAGAAATCGACATGGCTAAAAGTACTCATTAATTAATCCAATACATGCTTTCTTGTCCTTTCCCCCCCACTCTTGAGTCTTTTTTTTCATACATGAGTGTATCCTTCCCCAATTCCCCATGAAAGCACTGTGTCTGTGACAAAGGCCAGTGAAGGTGGAGTGGGATTCTCCATCCCTGCACCAGGGGGTTGGACCCAAGGGCTTGTGATTGGCTACTGACTTCGGTGCTCCCCCTCCACATTGGGGTGCTACTCACCTCATCAAGCACTATAGTCAAATCCTCTCTCCTCCCACCTCTCATCCCCAGCTGCATGAGGGGTCTCCTTTGTGTTCATGGTAGGTTAGGTTTGCAGCCAGAATGAATATCCTCTTATGGGTGACACTGCAAGGGTACGAGTTAACTTACCTGGCTTGTGTGGAGCCCTCCCTCCTAACCCCCCACTCCGGCTTAAAGGAGGGAAAATGGACCCTACATTTCTTGCATTTGGCAGCATCATTTGCCCTCTTCTCCCTTTTGTTCCCCTTCCTCTCCCACTGCTCTGGAATGATGTATAGGCTTTTTTTCCTTGCCATTTCTCTAAGAAATTTTAATTTAGAGTCTGCCTGTGGTCCCTTGAGGCCTCCTTGGGTCCTGCCTACACTCTGTGCCCTGGAGAGACACTCTCCTAAAGAGTGCTTGAAGGAGACTGATCAGACTAGACACTTGACATTCTCCACTTGTCCTTTTTAGAGCAATCGACTCCAGGCCACTCAGGGAAAAAATCAGGACAGTAACAAAATGCATGTGTTTGCATAAGCATCAGTAGCTCGTGTGCCCTGGTTCTGTAGCTGAGGACAAGCCTAACTTATTCATTTATAGCTTCTTTTATTGCAGAAAAAGGAATGGACATGGGATGAGAGCAAGATGCTGGTGATGCAGGACCCCATCTACAGGTAAGAGTGCAGTCCAACACTCAAGATGTCGCTGAGCACCTGGGTCCCTTGCCCTTTTCCTCAAACCATCTGTCGGGCTCCAGACAAATTTAAATAAACTTCACTGCTTTTCCCTTTGGAGACCTCTCGTTTCTGTAGATGTAAGTACAAGAAGTAAATCTGCCTTATCGTTAAGATTGAGAGGAAAATTATTCTGGTCATGTTGAATTGCACTCTCTAAGAGAGCTATGAAGGATTTCTGCTTGGTGTTCAATCCAAATCTCTCAGTTGTAATTGGAGACCTTTTTGATTTGTGTAAGTTTTGTCCTAACTGAAATTCCATACTTGCAGATATGTTGATCAAAATGAGAAAACTGGTTTATTCTATCACCCTGTGCTCACAGTTTCCCAGTTTTCTCTCCCACCTTTCTGCCCCTTCAGAAACTGAGCATAGATAAGGGGGTTGTGATCATTTAGGAAATCAAAAAGTCACAAGTGTAATCTCCAGTGCTATGGTCTGAATGTTGCGTCCTCCCCTCCCAAATTCATATGTTGAAATCCTAACCCCCAAGGTGATGGTATTAGGAGGTGGGACCTGCGGGAGGTGTTTAGGTGGAGTCCTCAGGGTTGGGATTAGTGCCCTTATAAAAGAAATTCCAGAGAGCTAGCTAGCTCCCTCCAACATGTGAAGACACAGCTAGAAGGCATGTCTGTGAACCAGAAAGTGGGCCCTCACCAGACACCAAGTCTGCCAACATCTTAATCTTGAATTTCCCAGCCCCCAGAACATGAGAGATATAAATTTCTGTTGTTTATAAGCCACCCAGTTTATGTTATTTTATTATAGCAGACTGAATTGACACATACCCAGAAAATGCTTTTACAATGAAACTGGTAATTCCTACAGAGATTAGATGGATACTATCCATGTGTATTCCCCTGGGCAGAAGAATACCGGATAGCAACAACATATAGAAAGCCAGGGCTCTCCAGGGAACCATGGCAGGACTTTGAATCATGGGTGTCATTCTTCTGTCCTGGATCTCTGCAGACCAGGCCCCATCTCACCCCTACCTCCTTCCTGTCTTTCTCACTAGGAGAATGGCCATTCCTTTGGGAATTTGGGGACCTAGATTTAGGTTTTGATTTTGTCTCCTCTTAGATTATTGCCATGCCATTGTTGACAAAGTGGATAAGGGTTGGAACTCAACTGTGAAGTTGACAGCATGATGGCTTCTCTGCCTTCTAGTGAAAGAGTACATACCTGTGAAATGGAATTTCTGTTCATTCAAGCACATATACATGTGTGAAACACTCATGCCAGGTACTGTGCTAGGTAATTTAGTAGATTACTGAAGTGAGTGAGTCACGGTCCCTTGTTCTCAGGGAGTTTTTCAAAATCCAACAGTCTAGTAAGCAAATGGAATCCTGAGCAAATCACTGTGGTACAAGACAGTGTGTCTGACAAAATGAATTTCTTTCTCTGTGTTCCTGTCGTACTTTTTAATATTTCTTGAAATAGTTGTTTTAGTATGTTACTGCTAAAATTTGTCAGTCTTTTTCCACAAGGCTGTGAGGCTTTTTGAGGGAAAGAACGATGCTCTACTCACTTTTGTATATCTAGTGCCAAGCCTGTGTCTGGCCCAAATGAGGCACATAATCAATGTGCAATGGGTGGATGGATAAATGCACTGAATTAATTTAATATCTAAAAATTAATGTAAATGTTTCAGTGGCTCACTTGAGGAAACAAATGATGAGAAAAGGCTTTAAGAAACAGATTGCCTCGGGCCGGCCCTGTGGCTCACTCGGGAGAGTGTGGCACTGGGAGCGCCAAGGCCGCGGGTTCTGATCCTATATAGGGATGGCCGGTGCGCTCACTGGCTGAGCACGGTGCGGACCACACCGTGGTGAGGGTTGCAATCCCCTTACCGGTCAAAAAAAAAAAAAAAAAAAAAAAAAAAAAGTCCCCAAAA